TCTCTATCTCTCCTTCTTTGTGTTTGTTACTCTCTTGTAACACCTAATCTTCGTCACTTAGGCTATATGAACTTATTGCGTTGCAAGTGCCGTTAAACTGTTAGATCTAAATCTAGTCTAGACTCCCCCCCCCCCACAAAAAAATGAAAGAAAAAGAAATGTGAAGAAGCTGTACTAGCTGTAGATCTATTTGAAAAGCTCCTTCCTCTTTCCTCTCCAGAGCCTCCAAAAGAGGAGCAAAAAGAAGTGACTCCTGCTGACGTTGCCGTTGACCGTAAGTAGTAGTCTGTTGATGGGTGGTCTGGTGGGTGGTCTGGTGTGGTTTCTTCCTTCTTTCCTAGCAAACATCTAGGATCTAGAAATCAAGATATCTACTCTAGATCTAGATTCTAGATATCTAGATCTGTCCTCCTGATCTCTCCTCCCTTTTTGTGTTTGTTGTTACTCTCTTATAACACCTCTAATCTTCGGCACTTATATCTAAAACCTAGGCCTATATGGCCTTATTTCATTGTGTTGCAAGTGCCGTAAAACACCTGGATCTACTAAAACTAAAAGATTGTTGCACTTTACTGTGAGAGCATAGCCCTGTGGCTACGAGATTCTCATACAGCCACGATGTTCACCAAATAATTGGCCTATAGTAGGCCTATATAGCTCCTTTGGACTTTATTACCTGACAGTGGTGGCCCGGGTGTTTGGCGGGTGCTCTGGTGTAGTTTGATCCCCTTCCTATCAAACATCTCCGTCCTTATCTCTCCCCTTCTTTTTTGTGTATGTTACTCTCTTGTAACACATCTATTCTTCGGCACTTATATGACCCTATTTCGTTGCAAGTGCCGTAAAACTCTTTAAAAAAAACAACCGAAGAAGCTGTTGTGTTAAGCTTTTTCCTCTCTCCTCTCCAGCAGAGCCCCCTAGGGAAGACCAAACAGAAGCGACTTCTGCTAACGTTGACGGTGAGTAAATCTACGTGTATCAAAGTTTGCTGCTCTTTCCTGTGAGAGCGAAGCCTTGTGGCCACGAGCAAAGCTCTGGTCACGAGATTCTCCTGCACCCACGCTATTCACGAAATAGTAATATAGTACAATGTCAATAAAAATTAAATCGTCTGTTTCTTTGATTTCATTTTTTGACGAGCTCCTGACTTGACACACAGCAGTGCCACACGCCACACTCACGATGTGTACACGCTTAAATATGCGCAGGAAGTCTAGAAGTGTAAGTTGATTCTGATGGGAAATTGTGTCTCCCTGTTAAACCACCCCCCCCCCTCCCTTACAATGATTGAATTCCTTTGTATTCTCCAAAGCAGAGACATGACCACTATGTTTGTTCTCAATGAGGGTGGTAGGTTGTGTCTTACAACGATGATTGACCAGATCTTGTGTTGACCACGGCCCTGTTTTGTCCCCAGGTTCTCCTAGCTGTCACGAAGAGCCGACCCCAACAGCTGGTAACGACAGCTCAGTTGTCCTTGCTTCCCCTGGTGAGTCCAACTGTCTCTTGATGTGTAGTAGATTCTCCTCATCATCATTGCCTTTGTCACCCTGGATCAGGATCTAGGCCAAGAACAAACACTCCTATTAGAATATAATGATAAAATATGTAGGTGTTTTTACGGCCCACTCCACACAATTTAGATAATTTAGGAGGTGGGCTTCAGACCCTGCCTGTCTCGGCCTGCCCTGGCAGAGAAGGATACAATACATTTCAGTAGAAGGACCGAGATACTCAATCAACATTTTCCCTTCTCCAGAATCGAACCCGGGTCTCCTACATGTGACACCCAAGTGCTCAGTGGCTATGTCGCATACACCAGTACTTAGCCAGTGTCACTTACCAGCATGCAAGGCAATATAATACAAGTGTTTGTTTCATTTGCAATTTCGGAAATGTGCAAAAGTATGTAATTATAGTGGGTGGTTGGCGGGAGCTCTGGTGTGGTTTGCTTCTTCTTTCCTATCAAACATCTATCGTCGTTATCTTGCTTTTTTTTGGTGTTTGTTACTCTCTTGTAACACCTCTAATCTTCAGCACTTTTATGACCTTATTGTGTCGCAATTGCCATAAAACTTTTCCTACAGCTAAAGAGGTAGGCAATCTCCTGGGTGGTAATTGTGTAAGTAATTCTAGACTCGTTTTCCTTTCTCCTTTCAGGACCTGCTGCCAGAGATGACCCCCCACTCCTTTCAGGACCTGCTGCCAGAGATGACCCCCCACTCCTTTCAGGACCTGCTGCCAGAGATGACCCCCCACTCCTTTCAGG